TCTACTTTAAAGAGTCCTCTCCTGCTGATGTTCAGGTGTATATCAGTATCTAGTGTCTCTACTTTAAAGAGTCCTCTCCTGCTGATGTTCAGGTGTATATCAGTATGTAGTGTCTCTACTTTAAAGAGTCCTCTCCTGCTGATGTTCAGGTGTATATCAGTATGTAGTGTCTCTACATTAAAGAGTCCTCTCCTGCTGATGTTCAGGTGTATATCAGTATGTAGTGTCTCTACATTAAAGAGTCCTCTCCTGCTGATGTTCAGGTGTATATCAGTATGTAGTGTCTCTACATTAAAGAGTCCTCTCCTGCTGATGTTCAGGTGTATATCAGTATGTAGTGTCTCTACTAGGTGACTATCCCAGTCGCATACCTAGTCCGGAATGCTCCTTTCAAAGGTACCGCGAGATTACCCCGGAGTCTCACTGTGACTGTACTGCGTAACTAAACAAATGCATGTAGTGTTCGAGCACAATGTGTCAGGCGAGACAGACTTACCTTTGTTGTCTCCACCTTCTTGTTTACTGCTCTGTACTTTCTCAAGTACCTCAATTACACTTTCGACACGACCCACAAACTAGACTAAATTGTATATGTAACGTCACTCATCATAGAGATGACAATTTCTCAGGAGAGGACGACTACAAGTCCACAATATACGTCATACATCACAGAGATGTAAATTTCTAATGGAGAGTGACGACTACAAGTCACATATAGTCATACATCACAGAGATGATAATTTCTCAGGAGAGGAAAGCGACTACAAGTCCACATATAGTCAACATCACAGAGATGAGAGATTTCTCAGGAGGCAGGACGACTTACAAGTTCCCACATAATACGATCCGTACATCACAGAGATGAAATTTCTCAGGAGTAGGGACCCCGACTACAAGTCCACAGTATGACGTCATACATCACAGAGATGGAGATTTCTGCAGCGCCAGGAGCGACCGACTACAAGTCCACATCACTAGTCATACATCACTAGAGATGAAATTTCTCAGGAGAGTTTGACGACTACAATACCACACATAGTCATACGCCGTCAACAGAGATGAAATTTCTTCAGGAGAGGACCGATGCTACAAGTCTGCACATATATTGTCGATACATTCAGCAGAGATGACAATTTCTGCAGGAGACGGACGACTACAATTTACCCACACATAGTCATACGTCACAGACGGGATCGGAAATTCTCAGCGAGAGGACGACTACAAATACCACACATATACATACATCACAGAGCATGAAATTTTGCTCAGCCGAGAGGACGACCTACAAGTCGCACATATACGTCACACAGTCACAGAGATTAAATTTCTCAGAGAGGACCGACTACTAGCCACATATAGGTCATTACTGACAGAGATTGAGTAATTCTCAGGAGAGGACCACTACTAGTCCACATAGTAGGTCATACATGAGCAGAGATGAAATTTCTCAGGAGGAGCTCGACCGACTACAACGTCGCACATATACGTCACATCTACAGACGATCGAAATTTCTCAGGAGAGGCACCGACTACAAAGTCCCACATTATAGGTCAGTACATCACAGAGATGAAATTATCTCAGGAGAGGACGACTACAATAACCACACAGTAGTCGATACCGTCCACAGAGATGAAATTTCTCACGGAGAGGACGAGCTACAAGTCGCACAATATAGTCATTACATCACAGAGATGAAATTCCACAGGAAGAGGACGACTACAAAACCACAGCATATAGTCATACAGTCACAGAGATTGAAGAATTTCCTCACGGAGAGAGGACGACTACAAATACCACAAATAGTCATTGACAATCACCAGAGATGAGAATGATTTCTCAGCGAGAAGCGAACCAGCGACTTACAAAGTCCACATATGAGGTCATACGCATCACAGAAAGTGAAATTTTCTCAGCGAGAGGACCGACTATCAACGTCCACATATAAGTACATAGCATCACAGAGATTGAAAATCCTAAGGAGATGGACCCGACTACAAGGTCGCACAATATAGGTCATACATCACAACAGAGATGAAATTTTCTGCAGGAGGTAGGAGGCGACTACAAGTCCAACATATTAGTCATACATTCACAGAAGATCGAAATTTCTCAGCGAGAGTAGGACCGACTACAAGGTCCACAAGATACGATCGATACATCACAGAGATGAAATTCCTCAAGGAGACGGACGATCTTACAAACGCACACAGATACTACATACCACAAATCAAAGAAGATGAAAAGTTTCATCAAGGGAAGGAGCGACGACTACAAGGTCCACAATATAGGTCATACGCATCACAGGAGATCTGAAATATTGTCAGGGAGAGGACCGACCTACAAGTCCACACTATAGTCACACATGCACAGACATTAGATGAATTTCGCCGTCAAAGCGAGGACGACTGACAAGTCTTACATATGGAGTCATACATCAGCAGAGATGAAATTTTACTCAGGCGAGGAGCGATCGTACTACAAAGGCTCCACACTATTACCGTCATAAATCCAGCAGAGATGGAAATATTACTCAGAACTGAGAGGACGACTTACAGAGTCCACACATATAAGTCATACAATCACCAGAGATGAAATTTCTCAAGGAGACGACGACTACAAAGCGTATCCACCATAATACGTCATACGATCACAAGAGAATGAAATTTCTCAGGAAGACGGACCGACTACAAGTCCACATATAGTTCATACAATCACAGACGATGGAGTAATTTACTACAGGAGAAGACCACGACTACAAGTCTCACTATATGAGTCATACATACACAGAGATGAAATTTCCAGCGAGAGGACCAACTACAAGTCCACATATACGTCATACATCACACGACATGAAATTTCTCAACGAGACGACCGGACTACAAAGTAGTCCAAATATAGCTCATACTATCACACGAGATCGAAATTTCTAAGAGAGGAAGGACGACTACAAGTCCCACATATAGTCGATACATCAAAAGAGGATGACAATTTCCCTCAAGGAGGAGCGTACGACTACAAGGTCCACATATAGTCATACATCACAGAGATGAGTAATTTTCTCAACCGGAGAGGATCGACTACAAGTCCACATACTTAGGTCATACATCACAAAGAGATGCGAAGATTCTCACACGAGAAGCGGACGACGTACAACGTACACACCTAATAGTCGTCCCCTCCCGAGGAAATTTCCTCCTCCCTGCTTTGAGTATGACAATATGTGGTACCTGTAGTCGTCCTCTCTTGAGAAAATTTTCATCTTCCTGTGATTGATGGACTATATGTGGGACTTGTAGCGTCCCTCTCTGAGAAATTCTCATCTGCTCTGTGGATTGTGAGACTATATGTGGGGACTTGTAGTCGTCACTCTCCTGAGAAATTTTTCTTTCATCCACTCTGGAGTATGACTAATGTGGACTTGAGTCGTCCTTCTCGCTGGAGAATTCGTCATCTCTGGTGATTAATTGACTATATGTGACTTGTGTCGTCCCCCCGTCCTCTCTCCTGAGAAATTCATCTCTGTGATGTATGACGAAATGTGGACGTGTAGTCGTCCTCTCTGAGAAATTTCATCTCTGTAGATGTATGACTATATAGGTGGACTTAAGTCGTTCCTCTCCTGAGAAAATTTCATACTCTGTGTTGATGACAATGTAGGACTTGTAAAGTCGGCCTCTCCTGAGAAATTTCATCTTCTAGTGATGTATGACTATATGTTGAACTGCTAGTCGTCCCTCTCCTGAAAGA